CATTTATGGCCTCTGAAGAGGAAGCCAGCAGTTCAAGCATTGGTTTTTGGCAACTCCATGTTTTAAAGGCACTTAAGAAAATTTGTCAAATTTAGAAAAGTCAAGCTACCATGTCTTTTCCAAGAAAAACAGGGTCTGTCTTTCAAAGAAATTAAGAAGGAAGGAGGCAGCCTTGTCAAGGGGAAGAGACCCCAAATCCTGCAAAGCTTCATTGGGCTGAGGAAAGTTGTGGCCGATGCCTTCCAATTCGTGCATTAGACCGTCATATTCTTCAAGGCAGAGCCACCTGTCACCAGGCCTCCCACTGGGCCCATCAGAGACCCAGGACAAACAGAGCAATCAAGACCACAAAGCCATGCACAAGCCATGCTGTCTGCATCCCCCGATCCTACTGTGCTGTTAATTGCTTTTCAGTTAGTGTCTCAGTACTTGACCCTCCACAAACATGAGGCCCATTTGTTGGTTATTTACCTTGGAAATCATCCTCTCCAAAATTGGTTATAAGATTCATGAGGTTCTTCAAAATAGATCTTTAAAAATTACAAATACAGAAAGATCAAGCATAAAATCATTTACCACTTTAAAATCCTGCCAATTAAAGAAAAGACAACCACTTCCAAGGTCCACTCCCACCTGTGTGGACAGATGCGTCCCTCTCACTGGGTCTTGTCCTTCCCAAGGACAGCTTGCAGTCACCTCTGCAACTCAGATATCCTGCACCCCAGCACATGGCCTGACAATTCAGAGGGTGAGCAAACCATGAAAAGCTCTACCTAAGAATTAAGGTCTTCTCAGGGCAGTGCAAAGTAGAAGCTTCATTGTGGGAAGAGCCAATCAAAAAACTAAGGGTGGTATCCAGGCAGCCTCATGCAAGGGTGGGTCCTTCAGTACAGGCCTAGCAGGGCCGGAACTGACGGCATTTCTCAGCAGCCAGTCATGGATGTCCACCCCAGCCTTCCCCTTGGCCTCAGCCAAAGGCTTGTTTCACAAACACAGGCCAAGAGACACATGTGACTGGCTCAGGAGGAAGGGGGAACAAAAGGGACTTTGTATAGCCCTGAGGATGCCAAGAGATGGCCCAACCCACATCCTTCGGCCAAATGGAAGCAAGGAGCAGTGACAAATCTCCACCTTTTCTTAAACAATGCATGGAGGGAAGGCTTACCTCTCCCAGTCTCTCTCAGCCTTTTGAAAAAGGTCATTGGTCTGCACTCACTGGGATGGTCTCTACCATGCCCACAGCACACTGCACCTTTACACAGAATATTTCTAAGCTCCCCAATGCACACAAAATGCCCTTTTCAGCGGCACTATCAGTGAGGAACAGAAGTGCTCTGGCAAGACTGCAAGCCCCCTCAGGTTACCAAATTCTGAACATCAAAATCGTGCTGACATATGGACCATGGCAGGGCCTGCACGCTCAGGAAAGATGGCCAAGAACAGCCTGTGAGAACCGTCTTGAAACAATGCTATCTTTCTTCTGCATCTTTAACTGCTCAAGAAGGGTATGCATATTAAATAGCAGAGCAAAGTTACTCAATTGAGGCAAAAATTCCTTTCCCAACAGTGCTCCCTCAAAGAAGGAATTTTACATTGTGCCCAATTCCAAGTGAGTCCTGATAGAGCTTTCACTGGCCACAGCAGAAATTCCAGGTCTTTCTCAGCCATTTCTAAGAATGTTTTATTTAACATAATCTTCTCCTTGCCTCGTTTTAGGTTTGGGCTGCTATGAGCCCAGCCGTGATTCAGCACCTCAAGTCCAAAGGCAAGTAGGACTGCCCCTACCCCACTGGATCCCAGTTTAATCCACACCAAAGGTGTCCTTTTGTTTTGTGGTATGGAAGCCAGCCACAATGTGCCTCCCTATATCCTGAGCACAGGTGAGACAATAAATATTTGGTTCCCCAATGTGGTCTGTGGAGCCATGTTGGCCGGGAAAGCCCTGTTGCACTCATTTTAGACATAAAAAGCCACCAACGGCTACCATCCATTTGGACATTCATCCCTGTTACTCCCACCTGAATTGTAGTTTTGAAAGAATTTGAGAAAAGAATGTTGAAGGAATGGCCAATTTCAGCAAACTACACTTGATCACCTGCACTTTCATACCACTTTTTTCTCAATTTCAAACTATGTCTGCTTACAGGAAGCCTGGTTTCAAGTCATATCCAGGCCATTTCTCTATTCAGTATTTTGTAAGAAGTAAAAACAATGTCTCTGGGAGAAGAACGATCAGACTGCAAACATAAATGTAGGCCCAGAAAAAAAAAAACCTCATTAAGTTATTCCTAGAATTTTCCATAAAGTCAGCATGGCATGTCTAATTCTGTCTTAACAGGTCCTAGGAACAAAAGTCCAACCCTCTGTCTTTCACTGGCCATTTAATCATCAGTGACTTAAGACTCCATTATATTCCATCAATAGACCTCTACTCTGTTGATAGTAACCTTTACACAGCTCTCCGCAGAGTCTATTAATTCCTTGAACATTTTTGCCAAATCTAACAATTTTCGATGCCCTTCACATACTCCCCCTACCCTTCCTAAAACGTAATGGATCAGTAATGAATATTTATCCATAAAAAGGACTAAACTTTAGAGGAGAAAAAAAATCCTCCTAGAAAGTAAGTTTTATGGAAAACATCACACCAGGTGTTGGGGATCATTTGACACCAGGATATACCCTGAATTCCTGTGAGGGCTATTCAGACACAGGTCAGACTCACGGCCACCCAGGCTATCTAAGACAGAGCCACCAACACAGAAACACATTAAAAATTTTTTTCGTCTAGCAAATGAAAAGATTGTCCAACAGCCCAACACAACTGTCTGATGAAAGCAAGTCCCTCTTGCTTGAACTCAAAATTATTGACCATTGCATATGATTAATTCCAACAAACTTGCCAAGTGGCCCTTCTACCAGGGTAAGTAGCCACCAAGAAGGTGAGAAAGGACAGTGGGGGAACTGACCACTGAGCATGAGGGAGCTTAACAGACTCAAAGACTCAACACTCAAACCTCACAAGAGGTTTGGGGACATGCTTTTGCAGGATTCAAACAGTTCTACTCAAATCACTCGCCCGTGTACAAAAGCAGCTGTAAAGCAACAATGATTTTGAATGATCAGGAAAAACATTGTTCTAGCACACTCTTTGAAACAAAGAAATACAAGAAATATTTAGACAGACTTCCAGAGTGTTTTAAACGAATTCAGTTCAAGAGCTTTGAAGTGTAAGAACCTGTTACCTGAAAAGTCCCCGCAGTGTGAAATGCCACCCCACAACAAGGGAGCTGGAGAAAAGAGGAGTGTTTGTTTGAGACAGCTTCCTGGTTTCACGTGCAGTACTTAACTCCTCACTGTCATTTTACTCAGTATCACTGCTTCTCGCTATCCCAGCTCCTTGGAAAGCCAAAGATGCCTCCAGTCCCCTCAACCATGCCGTGTTTGTGCACGAGCTTGTAAGAAATTTCAAACAGTTACTGAAGGTAAATGACCTCAAAGACACAATCTTAAGATCATCTCAGGGCTGGGGGCAGGTGATTAGGGGCTGCTCCACTGTGCTGAAAAACTGCAAACCAAATCGTAAACCTACAAAAAGAGAGATTAAGAAAATCAAGCTCAGGTCAGAGAGACAAACCAGAGCATTTTACTTTAAAAAATATAAGTAAGAATTAGATTTTTGTTCTTAACAGATATAAAATTCTAGACTTTAAATTTTTCAACTAAGATAGAAAGCTCAAGATGTCCTTAGTTTTCAAAAAGCAAGTAAAAGTCCACCAGGGCTGCGACATCAGCAGAGAGGGGACCAGATGCTGTGGAATTCAGAGAAGAACCCACAATCCCGTCACCAAAAGAAGCACTGACACGGACACCAGGATGCATTCCTTTTTTACAATTTTCAACAATAAATGTATCTTCTCAATTATGAGGCACTTAAGGTTATATTAAGCTGAATGTGAAGTCTCTTGGCATAAAAACCATCCTCAGGGGAAAAAATTCATATCATAATGAGGCTCTTGCTATTCCTCAGAGACCCGTGGCTAGCAGAGCTCTCGGTGGCTGCAATTTAAGGCCAGAGCTCTATAGAGCCATTTTCAAAGGTCATCAACCCAAAGATACCGCTGGACCTGGAAACAGACTTCTCCCCATCTAAGGAAGCAGCAGCCATGAATTTACAGGAGGGCATGTTCCAGAAGGAGCTGAGAAAATCACCATGCTTACAAGTCACCGAGAGATGTTGTAAATGGCCATTCTAACCACCTAATTAAAGATCTGTCCATTTAGCCTAATTTTGTTTGACCTCCATTGATTTAATCTTCTTCAATCAAGTACCAAGATCTCCAACAGAAAATGAAGTGACCCTCACTCTCCATCCCCAGATATTTTGGGGAGGGAGTAATGGAGAAACACAAGTGCACCGGAATCATCCACACTCAGAGGTATACCAGGAACCCTTCATCCTCGATGTCCCTCATTCACTCATTTCCCCAGTGAACTTTCACTGAATCCCTATACAATGCATCAGGTATGCCCCAGATGCGGGCAATGCAGTTATGAATAAAACTAGGGCCTCATCCATGGGTATCAGGAATGCTAACAAAAATTCCAACACACTGAGGCAAGTGCAGTAATAGACACTAGGGGAAAACTATAGCCCCAAGGAGGAGCAAATCACCTCCACCTAGGGGGAGGGAGACATAGCCAGAGGCTGCTTCACGGCACAGGGAACAAAGGCAGGAATCACACAAGCAGAGCCCAAAGAATCCTCCTCCTTATTTGGCTATAGAACTCAGTTCATCTTACAGATTAAGTGTATTTAAATGAAATATTAGTATGCGTGTGTGAACAATAAAAGTCAAAGCAACTAAAAGTTAGTTACAATCCATAAAAGAGATGATTCGCATATTATCATTTTAAAAATTAGATTTATGCAGATCGTAAGCCAATCCTTAGGAGGGAGAGTACTGGTAAACTAAATACATAAATGTACAGAATCAGGGGGAGGATATAGCTCAGTGGTAGAGTGTGTGCTTATCATGCACAAGTTCCTGGGTTCAATCCTCAGTACCTCCATTAATTAAAGAAAAACAAAGGTAAATAAATGTACAGAATCAATATTCCATTGCCAGGAACAATCAAGCACTGATCATCTCATATAACCATATGGGACGAGGCTTCTCAAACCTTGACATGCACACAAACCACCTGGGACCTTGTTAAACAGCAGGTTCTGATGCTGGAAGCCGGGGCGGAGCCTGGGAGTTCGCATTTCTAATAAGCTCCCAGGTGATGCAGGTGCTGCTGGGCCCACGGCCCGCTCTGGGCAGTGAGAGTGAGGAGGGCCAGTGGACTCAGTCCTGATCCACCATCCTAGCCACAACACTAACTCCAATGCTCACCTGAACTCCAGCGAGATGGCATCTTAGGAGATGGGGTTCCCTGTAATTTCTTTCTAAGCTGTATAGGAGGTTCTCATGTGCAGCCAGACTTGTGATTTTTTGAGAAATTAGCCTCCTTGTATACCTCACCCCAGGAAATGGGTCACTTCTCTCCGTACACAGATAACGCCAGCAGCTGCGGAAGACCTCCATGGGGAGAGTGAGCCAGTTAGAGGGCTCCCAGCTCAGCTGGCCAGACTGGTCAGCTCAACCCCGGCGATGCCTGGAATCACAGCCTCCGCGGGCTGACATCTGTGGTGGAATCTATCTTGACCCTTTTCATCCACTGTAATTGCTTTCCAAAGCTAGTGCTTAGATCATTATCATCATCTGTTTAGCCTCATAAAACACACAAAAGAGGAAAAGGACTTTTTTCGGCCTAAAAATTATAGATAAGGGGTCATCCATGATGAAAGGCTGGAAAGAAGCCAAAAGGCAAACATGTAATTAACCATCCCGATGCCTCCAGGCTCCAATCTTGAAAAGGCTCCCCAACCACCCCCGCCCTCACTGCAAAGTACAATTTTTGTTAATAAAAGGGATCAAGTGGAATGTGGTCCTTCGGGGTTTTCAAACACAAAATTGCTTCTGGAAAAAGGAAGAGTAATAATAGTTTACCCTCTCCAGGTGGAACAGGTGACAGAGCTGGTGTTTGAAACACCAGCATTTCCTATTTCTCCGTGGCCACTGTCTGTTTACCGAGGCGTCTCAAATTCTGTTCCGTGTATTCAGCCTCTTGATCCCAATTTCTACCAATCTCATTAAAAGCTGTAAGCCCTGATCCCCTTCTCACCCTTGCTTACCTTGGCAGAGGGCAGGAAATTTTTCAACTGGAAGGTCTCACTTTACCCCTAAACTTAGGAAAGCCTCCCATGGGGATGGTATTTCCAAGACTGGCTTCAATTTACAACTGCCAAGGTATGGAAGCAACCCTAAGTGTCCATCAACAGATGGCTGAATAAAGATGATTCCACACACACAATGGAATACTACTCAGCCTTTAAGAAGAATGAAATTTTGCCATCTG